TGCCAGAAAGATATACAATTGAAGAGGTCAAAGTATATTGTGATGCATGTTCCCTGCCATCTTCTGGACATATAAAATTGTGCTTTTCTTCCGTAGCATGAAAAGGCAAATTGGATAAAATAACTGAAAACAGTTTTTAAACCAAACGCTGTCATCAAAATATCCAATGCATTACTGCAAGCATTGGAGTATGGATTTTTCAAGGAGATACAGAGCATGCTCTTAGGAAGAAACAAGTGAAATAAAAAACAAATGAAACCAGTTGATTAATAGAAAAATTATGATCAGTTTAACGGTAATGATGCAAGATCAGAACATTTTCAAGGTCTTAAGGCCCTATTTCATGAAGTCAGATAATTTGTTAGTAATTTCACATTCTACTTAGATATTTGATTCCAGAACTTACATAAAGTGGCTTTCTATCCTGTAATATTCTTGAGACAACAAGCAAATAGTATCCTCATCAGCAATGGATATTAGGACTGACTTAAGTAAATATAAGATAAGCAGCAAGACTGATACAGAAGTTTCATTCACATGGAAATTAAATGACTTATCTTATAAATGTAATTATGAGGCAGAAAGAGCACATCGAAGCTATCTAGAAGACCTAGAGGCTTTATTCCACTGAGAGCTCATCGAAGTCTGATCACAACTGCTGGTTAGGCATCACCAGAATTAGATGGAGAAGTGGTCTCCATTGATGAGAGAAACAGTAGCTGCTATCTTAATTTTTCTCCTGCCAGCACAATCACAACATCACTTGACATCCCCAGACAAAAGAAAAAAAGTATATGACAAAAAGAACATCAAGAAGAACATTCCTACATTCTCCTCTCCTGTCCTGTGCTCAGACCTCTCCAAGATGATACCAAATGAAGAGGTATCACCTTCTTTATCCCTGGAACCTGATAAGCTGCAACCGGTTCTGCAAACCTAACAAGGAAGCTGAAGAAACACAAGAATATGCTATGACTTCCAGGGAAGACCAAATCAAGGAGAGGATAGAAGAAGAGTAGAAGAGGCAAAGGAGAACCAGTGGGCTGTGCTCTGGACCTTCGTCTGAAAGCAAATACCACACGCACTCCGCGGTGAACAAGAGGTGAGCCAGACCGAGTTCTTCCATGTAGCTGCAAACTGATCCAGCCGTGGTTGAACCTATGACATTTATATACATGTCAAGTCTTTATAAATTAATTTAGTTTTTATTTTTATTTTTGAGCGAATTTCTAAAAAGTAACTGTTAATTCTAAGTTTTTTTTAAGAAAATATTATTTTATGTTCAGAATTTTTAAAAACCTTCATCTTATCCTAACCCTAATTATATCTCTATCTACGCTTTAGCTACTTGACTAATCGACCCTCGAAGGAGCAAGTGATCAACATTACTTGTGTTTCTAAGAAACACAAGTAAAGGAATAAGTGATCATGGAAAACAAGGGGGTGAGAGGCACGATCAACATTGATCGTCAGCTCGTGCGTGAAGACATAGGCAATCAAGGGATAAGAGGATGATGGCCAGCACTACTACCTCGTGCGGAGACACAAATGACTAGAGGAGGGGAGGAGAGTGACCGATGTTACTTGCTAACTCACGCGTGTGAAGACATAGATAGCTAAGGGAGAAGAAGGGGTGATCGACGAGAACCAAATTTGATCATGCTAAATGAAAAAAAGCTGCTAAGCACAAGATTGGGACGATGATCAACAAAGATAAAATGATTATTTTAAAAAAATACTTTATGGAAAGAAACTCAAAGTTAAGAGTGTTTTTTTTTTAATTCACTCTTTATTTTTTATATAAAATTAAAATAATACAAGAGTAGTTCAATAGTAGCTCTACGTAATCTAATCAATATGTAGCTCCTATTAGGAATTATTAGGCCATGGTGAATCAAGTGAATGTACATGGCGAGACACTAAATTACATGCTTAATGTTTAATTTTTCTGCTGCTGCATTGAGTTGGGGATCAGTTTTCTTATCAACTGTGAAGATTGTACTAGCGGTGATGATCGGATGGATATTTCGAAATATCAAAATTCAGTTACCTCTTTTTTTCATGTGATATCGGTGTAGCCATGTAGTTGTTTGTTCTTGGCATACGTATTTTTTGTTCTCATGGAGAAGGTTCCTTTTCAAATTGTATTTTTTCTTTAATGAGAAGCACGAGTAAATTCTTATTTCAAATGGTAATTCGGTCTGCTATTTGGTCTGTTAAGCATGACTTTCTAACACCACTCATTTTAAACATTTAATTCTTATTATAGTTTATGCGTTACTGCATGTGTTATATTTAATGTGACAAATCCTTGCAGGGTTATATTAATGTGAATTCGATTCGAAACGATGATGGTGTAGTAGACCCACTTTGATGGGAGATGACATTAATGTGAACAACTTCCTTGATGTGTGTAGATGATCATATCTTCCTTCGTATTCTAGTGTTTTTGGTTTGTAGTTTTCACTTGCTACTACTGCCATGACTAATAGCTTGGCAAAGTATATCATTCATATCAGTTACACATGGCCAAAAAATAACTATAGTCCTTTCGAAAAATAAAAATCTCATTTTTTTAGGAACAATGTTATCGAAATCACGTTATACGAAACGCTCCAACGAAAAAAATAACAATAAAAATACGGGTCGGTGGAACTAGAAAACTAACTCAATTCATCCCGACAGTGGCAGCTTTTGACGACAATGAAAAACGTGCCTAAAATATGTGTATTAATTAATTAACACATGCGTAATCCCAACTATGACAAACGGAAAGGAGCCGTCGGTCTTTCATCGATCATGTCATCATAGGCAAAACAACAAAGATAAATTCCCAAAACCACAAAAGATTAATCTGATTTCACCATAACAAATAAAATTAGGTTCCCATCAGTCATCGTCAACTCACCGAATGCAAAAAAGGAGATCATGTAAACCGACAAACCCTACATTCTTATGACACCAAAATCAAAATTGCTTCCGAACGCCTTCGTTTCGGATTCTTCGGTCTTTACTTCTCCGACGAGTTGGGTCCCCTCTTCTTGCCGAATCCAACCACTGATCAAAATAACAATAGATAAGTAACTACAAAGCGGTAACAAAAACGTTGCTCTACAGGGAAAGAAGGAAGAAGCGCACCTGCGGTGACGAACCGCCGGTTGTGCTGCATCCGCTTGTAGGCTCTGCCCCTCGGTTTCTTCGGCTTATCCGTCTTCGCCTGTTTGGGCGTTTGCCCTCTCACCTTGCCGGCGCGAGCGAGAGATCCGTGCACCTTACCTGAACTTAACCAAGGAGCAGGAATCGGCACGGCACATATACGAAGGAGAAAAGGAGAAGAGGACGAGGAGGAAGGATAGCTAACCCATGGTGGATGAATCGGCCTCTCCGTCTAGGGGCTTCCGGCGCACAGGAGAACGAGGCAGAGATATCGAAACGAAGCAACTACGATTAGGGTTCTCTTGCAAGCGCAAACAAATTTATAGATTCGTGGCATCTATCACGTGAGATGCACGTGTGAGATTCAACTCGTCGGAAGGATCTCCTGTCTTCTTTCGAGAAGGGTTCAGGGGTTTGCCCACCAATAGCCAACGAGGTGTGCTGGGAAGTGTCGCGCCCAAACTTCAGATGGACGGCGGAGATTGATTAAGACGTAATGGTGGTTTTTAATTTTTTATTTAAATTATATATATTATTATATTAATAATTTATTATGAATCATATTCCTATTAACTCAAACTTTATAGTAGAGATTTATATATTATATTTTTAAAAATATAAAAGTTTCTTTTAAATACGAAAAAACCACAATGGCTTAAATAGTCTATCACTAAAGTTATAGGGGTTAAAATAATTTTTTTTTAAACTTAAATTATATATATCATTATATTAATAATTTATTATGAATCAATTTGATACATAAGTAAATTCTAATATCAGTTAACTTAAAGAAGGGTTTATAGGTTATATTTTTAAAAATATATGAATTATTTTAGACACGAATAAATCATTAAAATTTAAAATTTAAAATGGTACATGACCAAAATCACAAGAGCCAAAATAGACTTTAACCCTAACAATTATATGTCAACATCTTAATACTTTTATATTAAATATAAAAATTTAGAATCATCTAATCATAAACATAAAAAGAAAATATTCTCAAAATCACTATAATCACATATTTTAAAAAACATAAAGAACGGCTTACTTGCGATGAATGAAAAATTTGAGCATTGGTTAGAAGAGTCTATTGATAGTGAAGATATAACAAAAACTTTTGGCGTAGCATTCATCAAAAGTCAACCAAATTTATAAACAAACTCACGTTATATACTCATTCTCTTCCTAAAGTTTGATCATTATGTGTAATTCAGAGTCAAAAGGCAAAATCGATAGATTTAACTTTGAAGAATCCAAAATTAAATAGGTACCTAAATCAACCCCTTTTTCTGACACCAATCTATCAGAAATAATCTACTTATTTTTTTTTTTAGGGGATCACTATTAACACGTCAATCTAATATCGAAATCTCTGCTGTATACTTTGAGCTGTCGAAAGCAAATGTCGGTGTCGATGTGTTGTATCATCTGCTTTTTCTGTACTCTTTGATGTGAAAAATGTGGTAAACTTACAGCCTTCCCTGTCAAAACCCACCCCATTTCATCAACTTCTTTACCTCATCATACAACACCAATATAGCAGCTGCACCAGTACTCCTGAACATGTTAGAGATTGCTCCACGGTAAAATGAAGTTAAACCCTCAAACCTATAAATCTTCCTCCAACAGTCTAGAGTGTTATGATACATTGGTTTCTCCAATCCAGATTGCATCATCAACCTCCTCCTTATGGTATCAAGTGGATACGATATGAGACCTGCCATGGTTGTTACAGCTTGGGCTGTCACCCATCGCTTCCACAAGGCAGAATCTTCTGGGACGAGAAAATCCTTGGCCGTGTCAAAACCACCAAAGTATAGTCCCCGATGGACGATCATTCCATGAATCGAGGCAGGTAGGCCTCTGTAGATGCCTCGAATGCCTTCCTTCTTGTACGTGGTTCGGAGGAAATGGGAGATGCCTCTAAATTGCCGGGAGTCCCTCCTGCCAACATCAGCTGCAAGCCGGGTATGGGCTATGTCCAGTGGGTAGATGATGACCAAAGTTGTGCAGCCTGCCGCAGCCCCTGCCATGAAGTTGGAAGCTGCAATAGACACAAACCGATCTGCCTCTCTTCCCTTCAATATTGTCCGGTAAGCATCCTGAAAGAGTAAGATGTTGGGAAACATGATAAACTATCAGCTGGTATATATACTTTCTGACAATAGACCGTATCGTTTAAGCTAAACAGCACAAGAAAATATGGAGAAAGTAAGCAGATACTTTGAGAACATAGAGAATGACCAAGCTCTCATTCTTATAGAATCGATCCATAGAACCTTCAGAACATGAAATGTAGTTCTCTGCAGCAACATATAGAATGATAACGCATGATTTCAGAATATTGCAGTAGTTAGTATATCACCAACTTTGTATGGTAGGTGACAACAAAGATACTTCATTATTTTGTATATAAACATACTATTTATCTTTGCATGCAACCCTACTATTTGGTTCAAGATCTATGGGGGTACTTCAATATGATACAATATATACACAATCTAGTATTGAAACAAAGAATAAAAATTTTCAGTTTACCAGCATACTTTGATTCAATGTGTATACTGTGCACCTCTATATCATAGAGATAAAACCCAGACTAGAATGGACCGGCCAAAATGACTAAAAAAAATCAATAATCAGACCCTTAACCAGTCCAATTTACTAATTAGACTATTTGAACTATTGTAATACCATCAACTCTTTATTTATTGTCAAATATATCTAAATTTGGCATGGGCATTCAAGTGTTTTAATTATAAGGATACAAGAGAAAAAAAAAATTGTTACTCTCTCATCCCTTTAACATGTCTACTCTCTATCGTTGCCCTAAACATCCTCTTTCATTATATTTAAATTTTATTTTTTAAAATATTATCTTATAATTTTTAATTTTTAAATATAGAATTGTATTATTCTGGAAATTATTAAACCTGTGTTTGACCATTTGATTGACCAGTTCAACTGGCAACCCAAGATTTGACTGGATCGATGTCCATTCTTGTTCTGATACTACATGATGGGACCGTAAAATACCAGCAAGTACAGTCAAGTACCAGTTAATGTTTGTATCCATGCATAAACCAAACTAACCACTTCATAAGCAATTTACAACCTATCTTGCCATACAGAACTTCTTGACAATTATATTGGTCCTCGTCTCTGGAGATTTAGCATGATACCAACAATGAAAACCTATTAATAAATGCTTGTGCAAGATATGAGAAATAAATATGGCAATGTGAGATTTCTGAAGTGGCTCTGGAGGAACAAAAAGAACAAAAAAGTTCCCTGATCAGTAATTACAGTTTCCATATAAACTAATTGCTATCTTGCAAGCCTAATTCACTAATGGCATCTAATGTTCATCTTACCTAAGATCTAATCTAACTTGTATATCTCAGAAGCCAAATTCACCAATGGTATCTCATTTTCATCTCTCAATCAGATGCAGTGTAGGTGTGGTCTTTTTTTTGTGGGCAATAGAGGAAGATCCGGAGAATGCCCAGGTAAATCTCATCTTTCAAATAACAACCGAACATGTCCAATCTTTCAACTCCTTTTCTCCCTTTCTCTGACTCTCATAATGTTTTTTTAATTCCCTATGCTAGACATCTCCATGTGAAATCTGAGAACATCAGAAAAGTATACACTTGTAAGGGATATATATATCTTAATCATTTCAACAATCCTTTTCTGACTATTCCAGTAAGACTGAAAGTGTAACAGATTTGGCACCATACAAATATAATGCATGTTCTTACTTCACTATGAAAAATGATAATCAAGAATTAGCAGTAGCAAGATAAATTTTAGTGCTTTTCATCTTCAAGTTTCAGTAATTCTACCAAGGCTCCAAGGACAAAACTTAGCTGGCAGAAAAACTAAATCTTTTTAATGTTGAATGATCAACAATCCAACCATAGTTTAAAGCTTCGGACCGGCATGTAGCGGCCTGACAAGAACTGGCACTCAAACTAGTCAAAATCTCCAGCCTATTGTCCACAGCTGTTTTAACTGTCAACAGCAGACCTTCCCACTCCTCAGCCTCCTCCTCCTCCTCTTCCTCGTCTCCATCTCATTCTCCATTTCCTCCTCTCCTTCTGCTTCTCATTCTCCTCCTCCTCCAACATCGTCAACCTCTTGTTCACACATGTTTTGTATGTCAACAGCAGCCCTTCCTACTCCTCAGCCTCCTCGCTTCTTATTCTCCTACTTCTTCACTTATATGTTGGTACATATGGACCGTACCGATCCCTGGGTCCGGTATCAAGATTTCAAACCATGAAATCAACCACTCAGAAGATTAATCTTAAGGTTCAATTATGAAGAATATCTACACCTCAAAAACATCTAATGATAATATGGATTACCAACAATCATTGTTGTTTAAGTTAAAAGGGCATATAATTTTGCAATTCAGTTGTATTGGAATAGACCCCGATGGAAGCTCAAAGACAAATTGGATAAACTTAGTAGCTTCAGTTCACCTAGGCATGAATGCATATGAAGTACTGAGCTTTTAGTAATGTTAGAATAGAAGATTCCAAGCTTGCAAGAACTAACTTGACTGTGGCACTTGTAGGTATCTAGTCTCCTAAATCAGAACAGCAATCTCCTCAACTACAATCACACTTAGGCATAAAACAATTTACCTAAATTGAGAAGCCAAATTGTAGATCAAGGCATTACAAAAGAATTATAGATCAAGGCATCAACTAAATTGAGAAGCCTGGTGGGCAACAAAAACTAACACATACAGAAGTTTCTGATGGAAACGATGAACTCCGGTTCTAGCATTCTTTCTTATATGGTCATGTTCATGTTACATGAAGCTAGCTCACTAGCAGATGGTCCTACTAAAATATGATATAACACACTAAGTTAGCACATCAGTGAAGTCATTGGAACCATTAAGCCTGACTACTGAACCTGAAGGAAGCTGAGCATTGAGATGGATGCATAACCATGACAAATTTGACTATTGATTCTGAAAGAAGCTAAAATGGAAGCATGCCACAGTTATGTTATCAAACATTTGTAAATGCAGAAGACATGGAATAACTGGTGATAGACCATAGAACAGGGAAGTATCACTAACGAGGAATGGAGAGCAGCTACTTCAGAATGTATTATGTTTGAAGGGTAAGATCAAGATTCTTAGATTTCTCAAGCATAATTTTGTCAGTGTGAAAGAATGAGTAACTGCTCTAGGTCCAAGAAATATGCAATAATGAGCAATAAGACCTGGTCTAGATTTAAGAAATGTAACAATTACACTTAGCTTGATAACAGTAGTTGCAAAAATACAATTTGTTTACAGATGGTTCAGGAATATCTCTACCTCTACCAAACTTTAAAGTTGGTCAGGCAGATAATTCTATGCAGAATTTAGATACATATTTAAAATATAGAGATTGAAATTTTGATCTGAGATACAACAATCATATGCAAGGTTTTAAATACCAGACAAACTGTTATGTATTGGCCAATATTTTTCGATCTGGTCATCAATACCCAAACAAATATAGGCTGATAATGGTGGATGTACAATTCATTTCTAAATTTTATTACTTTACTCACCTGTAAAAAGCGGTATGAGTCAGTAAACCACACTGTACACTGTTATTTTTAATACCAATGAACTACCTGCTTTTAGCTCCTTCATTTTCCTAGTATCTCATTCTCCACCTTACACTTGAAAAGACTAACGAATCATCGCAATAGGTGAAAGATAACAAAATCAAGATTCAATAGACTAGGACTCATCTGTTCATGACATCATTTTGGTCTTTTATGTGAAAGTAACAGAACCAGGAGAAGCTGTAAACGAATAATGTAGGTAATGGGTGGCAAATGGGTCAAAACACAGATAGCAATGTCCAATTTCAATTGGGAAACAATATTACACTCAAAATTGGTTTGGTGCCATTATTAGGTAAAATAGAAAACATGGCATCGCATCATGAAAGTATTTATGAGGATAGTATCTTACTGTAATTTGTAAAGCCAAAATAGAATCATCAAAGCATTTACATGGATGGTACCCAACTTAATTAATAGGATTGCCATCTATGGCACGCAACATTTGCCATATCGGCCAAGTCCTACAGTGTACATACTGAAGTCAGATGGCTACTTAAATTAAGTCTACAAATAACACCTTTGTAGGTGTTATACAAAGTGCATACATTCATTATTTCCAAAGAGGACTCAATGATAGGTAGTATGGCTGCTTCTTGTGAGTTTTCAGGACCAACTGATAGACACTTTGATCTATGGTTCTTAACCTAAAGTCAGGTGGCTACTTAAATGGAGTATACAAATAACACCTACTTAGTGGATCCTGGTTATACTTTCTTAGCAGAGACACTATTATCTTCCTTGGCTAAACTTTTACCATTCTTTGCCCCCCAAAATCAGTCTTGCCTCTGTTTATTATTCGTTGTTTCATATAATGGCAATAAAACCCATCATGTGTTCATGCATGTTCATCTTATTAATCCCAATTTGGCATGCATCCCTGGAAATAACAGTTGTGTCATTTCCTTCCATAGTTTACAAGACATTTTCTGCCTCTGTTTGGCTAAGCTGGAACATAAGATGCAATTTTAGAGTGAATGCATTGTCATGATGGGGCTTAGTGTTGTCAACAAGCATGAAAGCATTCATGTGGATAGTATCCTACCATAAGTTATATAGCTGCAATCTACTGCCTTTATCCTAAGGCTAAAGTATATCAAAGACCAGGTTTAAAGAGTACATTGGATCACCCACACAATGCACATTACATTCAGTCTTTGCTGAGAGAAACTGAGATAGGCAGTATTGGAGTACAGTCAAAAGTTTTTAATGCCTTACTGGAAGTACATTTAACAAACACCATCTAGGTTCGTACATTGTAGTCTCAAATGTATTCATGAACAACCAGTTAGCAATTCCTGGTCAATTTCCTAGTATAGAAACCCTCATTATATGCCTCAATCGTTCAATCTATCTTCAGTCTGTTACTCATTACATGTAGCTGAAGGCAAGAAAACTTTTGGTGTCTTTCTGGATGTGCACTTAGAGCTTCAGGTTTGACATGCATCTGTGGAGATAACAGTTTGGGAATCTGGAAATTGAATTCCTATTCAGAAACCTCGCAAGAGCATGTGGATCATGGTTTTGGTTTATCTCTTCGCATGCAACCTAAGAATCTTTCGTGCCCTTCTTAACTATAACAACAGTTCTAATGATGTGGTTCAACAGCATCCACTCGGCGAAAAGATGCGATCAAGCATCAACACCACAGATTCGTTCCATCAGGACTCGTCAAAAGTTGACCAAATGAAATCAATTACAGTAAGGCATTTACACCCATCGCCCCAAATCGGCAACTATTACCCTATCCCATCGGTTTCGGGTTTGGGGGGTTGTTGGGGTTGAGGTGGAGGAGGAGGGTGTACCTACCTTGAGGGAGAAGTTGAGAGCGACGGAGGGGTAGTAACGTAGGACGCCGGTGCCGTTCCCGCGCCAGAGGGAGAGGACGCCTTCCTCGCGGGCGGTGCGGGAGATGCAGTCAAGCATGCCCCGGAAGCGGCGCCCGGGCCCACCGGCATCGTGGAGGAGGAGGGCGGCGTTGCTCTCCTGAGTCTGGAGCAGCAGCTTCGCCCGCTCGATCGGCGCCACCACGGTGTGCACGAACCCTCCCATCACCGCTCCCGCCACCACGTCCCTCTGGAACTGCCACGCCCACCCTCTCTTCCGCCCTCCCCCATCGCCGTCACCACAACTACCACTGGTCGACCCCATCAATCATCGCCACCTCATATATACTCTCTCTGTCTGGTACTTTTCGCGGAAGCTTTGTTCACTTCTCCCCTACCTCGCTCTAATTCTTCAGCGGGCGAACGAGAGGAAGCGTGTCCTCTCTACTCTCTGTCTTGAGGCGGCTACCATTCTACGTTCTCCCCAGTGGTTATATAGAGAGGGAGGAGGTGGCTATCACGTGGCATGCACGTGAAGTAGTTGGAACATGATGTTAAAAGGCCGCTACCTGCCCCTGGTTGGAACACGAAGCACGCAAACACCATGGAGAATTCAGTGCAATCAACGCTCAACTAATTGGGAATTTCACGTGGTTGTAATTCGCTTTCCATAAATTTGGTCCGGGAACTTCAATTTTGGTAGATGCGAGAATGTCGTATCGGCGGTCGTGTTCCAATATGGAATTGATTCCCTGGGTGGTTCCTTCTTACCGTGAGCACTCTTTTTGGGACGAGCGGCTCATGTTTGTTTGTGAGCTTTACGTGATGAAGGTATTTGATCCTATAAAGAGTAGCCAAAAGTAAAGGAACGGCGGAAGAGAGACGAAACAGGAAAGCCAGAATAAAGAGGAAAAGTGAGAACATTACACATTACGTGGGGAAGGAGACGGGATGATCGGAATAAAGAGGACCGTGTACGTTTCCGCTCGCTGCGTTCCTTAAGTTTCTTTCTCCTTTCCATGTCCGATACGTGAGCGAACTGCAACCCTGCTATTCTGAGGCCGACAGGCAACTCCCTCCCTGCTTGATGCCACCAATACGATGACGACTTCCATCGTTATCACTCTTCTCTCTTTACTAAAAGAAGGTTGGCTGACCAACCCAAAGCAGTAGCAGGATCCGAGCTAATGGACAGAAAAAGAAAACCCATACATGAAATAAATAAAAAAGAATTTTAAGTGTCTCATGCACCTTGAATTTTTAGATTATGCATTTAAGGTTTTAGCAAGAAAGGTTAGAAGTCCACAAACCTCAGCTAAAGCCAATAGCAACATGCTGGAAACTAGAATTAAATACCAAACATTATCATGGCGGATTGATCTCTTGCACAAATCCAACAGAAATTTATATACTTCTCATTGTGTCAGCGTCTTCCACCTGTATTGATTAACTCTTCGTCACAATAAGCACGCTATCAGGTGCGGTAACATATTACTCTGAGTTATTTATAAGCTGCTATAGATAAAAGTTTCATAAAATTGGTATGTGTACTTTATAATCTAGAAAATACAGTTCTATTTTCACTCGTGCCTAAGAATACCTGATTGGATTTTAGGAAGTCCAGAACAACTGAAGCCAGTCCTCCCTGATGTGCAGCATAAGAATGGTTGGCACCTTCCATAATATATAGCTTGTGGTTAGGAATGAGCTTCGCAAACTCCATTGCATCTTCCGATGGAACAATTTCATCTTTTGAACCATGAATAGTCAAGACTCTGAAAGAAACATTGACTGTTACAATATATGAAAGACTAAATATTTTAGTGTGAAAACTAAAGAAACTCCAATTAAAAGGTCAAGGAGTTTCTGGAACCTGTTATATGATACAACCTGACATGCTTGCAAGATAAAATTAGATGGTGCAATCTTGCAATTTGGAAGACTACTTTTTCAGTCATGTTAATGACTTGTTTTACCTACGTTCTTCTTTAGACCCTCAAAAAGGACTGTAACAGCATTATATTTAGTCATCGATGAAAACGGACACCTGCTTATTTTTGGATGTTACATAATTACATTCATATGAGTAGAGTAAAATGTGGTATATAAGTATAGTAAAATGTGTTGCACAAGACTCAGGGTCCAGGAGGATCAACATATGTACTTTCCTAGATTAAAACTATGGTAGTCCAGATCAGAAAATGTGACCTTATTTTATGACACCAGGGCTCACCAAACCAACATTTTATAGGGTCTTCAGCAACACAATCCATACTCATAAAAGGATATAGGAGAAAAGAAGAGAAAAAGGTAAACCATAAAATAAGTCTGTAAGAACTGTGAGGGATGACTTGTTAGAGGTGGTCCTACATCTTGGAGAGCAAGATTTTATTATAAACCTTAAGATATCTCGTAGTGCAGGTCAAAGCAGGTGCTGGATCTCAACCAAGGTTTGACTTCTCGTGCCGATTGGCGGTATGGCACGTGATACATCAACACATGCCAATGGGGACTCGGGCGATCCGTGTCTGGGTCGCCTATTAGACCGATACATATCGCCTATACCGTACCAACTTGAGTGGTACAACAAACGTTGATCTCAACCACTGCAATATTAGAAAAGCTACACTAGTGTGGCCTATAGGGACCTAACTGCATCAATTTGTCGAAAACCTCACATGGTACAACTACTCCATGATAGCCTTCCCTTAAAATCACATCTTAGAGATGATCAAAAAATGATTTCAATAAAAAATATATGTTAGGAGGTAGAACTTTTCCCCCTTATTTAGAAAACGTAAAAAGAGCATTAAGGAAACATATCTAACCTGCATTCTTTGTCAATGGAATGGCATGCTGCATGCATATCAGTGTCTAGTCTATCTTTTAGACTTTCTTCAGTAACCCGATACTCAACTTTTCCTGCAGTATGCTCAAATATGAATCCATAAATATAACCAATCATTGACAACAAATACGTAACTTAGATCTACATGATTACCACAATACTTAAGCTAATTGATAGAGGTGAAGCAAAGAAAAAAAGAACAAAATAACTACAAAAATCTCAATAATCAGGATCTAGTAGCTATCTAAACTCAGAGTTCTAGAAGAAAAAAAGTGTTGTTCTGTAAATACAAATTCAATCATTAACTTCTTATTTATCCCTTGGAAAGCCTACACCAGATATCTTTGAAGCAAACAACTGCTAGACATTACCAATTTCTTTTATGAATCTCACACATCCACAAATTTGTTTCCATTCACATTTTGCATTTCTTCTTACCTCATTAATGAATATTAAGACTCTAGAACAAGCTTGACATGTAGCCCTATATTGCATAACTTGGATCATGTAACAATAGGATTCAAATATATGATATTATTTTTTTTCCAAAACAATTTTTCATGATTTGAAGCTTATAATGCCTAAACAACTTTTATCTGATTTCTCAAACATTAATTAGTTAGAGTGACATAAACAAACTTCACAAAAAAGCTTTTCATTATCATTATCTGGTATCATCTGCATAAATCTCAGGATGCTTTATGCATAGGAGTTGTTCCTATCTTTAGGTAGAAATTTATAATTATAATTGTTGAAACCACACATAACAACAAGGCATACAAGGGACTCATTGTTTTCTTTCCTCCAAGTAATGATAAAAAATATAGCAGAAAGCAGCATTAATAGGAGAATAAAAAAAATAAAGTTTGTGAAAGAAATATGGTTCAGAACTATACTCATAACCCAATTAAAGTTTTTTATTTTACTTTTAGCATACCTGTCCTATCTTTCACATCAATAAAACCATCTTTCTCGATTCTTTGCATAAAGTCTCTCCCTAAGCGACCTTCAATTCCTCTATCCAAGGCAAAGCGACCAGAAAGATTTATGACTGTATGGACATCATGATACACAGAAGCATATAAGAGCACCACATTACCCCCTGTAAGAACAATTTTAGGTAAGTAAAGATTTACATGACACATAAGGGAATGAACATCTATCTCATCTTACATGATGCTCTATTCTCGAAAGAATAAAACATGTGTGTAAACACTAATGAAGCTTATTAAGCTTATCCAATATATGTGGAATATTTCCAACATAAAGTAGAAAGGTATTCATCCCAGTAAATTGCAAATTTTGCATAAATTTTGAGCAGAAATGCAAATAAAAAGGATGGCCCATTGAACGAGGCTCTTGTCAAAGCATACAAGCTTACTCCCACTGATAGAAAGGCCGTTTCTATGACTGAGACCTTAGTCATCATGGTTGCACAGGAGCATCTTTCTATGGTGCCAAGGCTTGCCCTTGAAAAAATTATGTTCATGCAATGATGTGCATACTAGATCCTCAACAATAATATTTGAATACCATCTGGCCTTATTACACTATACTCTTTAACTTTCAATTCGGAGATCTTTACAGGAATGACGTCAGAATGGATAACCTGTTTTTGTGTAAGCAATAAGGAAACTCATATCAAGTGTAACTGATGCAGTCTCCACTCAACAGCTGGGTTGTAGAGATGTTCTGCTGCTCACATGTTGGAGCCATAGGGTCAAGTACCGACACACTTAAGTGCACATGAACTTGCATGAAAAACAAAATCAAACAAAAGGGAAGTCCAATCTACACCAAAAAAAACTCAGATACCAGTATATGCAAAAAGTACATTTACCTTTACTGTGCCCAAGAATAGCACTTATTTCATACTTTTGCTCCGAAAAATATAAGATCACAGAACGCAAGTCTTCGGCCTCCCTCCGGTAGTTGCCATATCGGAAGATACCATCACTTTCCCTGGAATTCATCATTATATGCCTAAATAACTCTTAACTCTGACTACAATATTTTAAGTTCACTAGTAATGAAGAGAAAATGTAACTCCCAGAATAGCCAAGTACGCTTGGAAACATGAGAAACAGGATTTAAGCTTCCGACTACATTGCTCTGGAGCTACCTTTACATACCCATTTCCGGCAAAATCAAAGCGAAACACACTGATCCCTTGACTTGTCAATGCAGAAGTAAGGTTAAGAAAGATACTCTCATCCTGACAATAATTGAAAGCAAATCAATTTCATTATGAAACTATTATACTTGCTTGCATACAAGTGGAAAAAACAGAAGTATAACTAGATCCATGGACGAAATGCAGAGTTATGTGTAAAGCATAATACAAATTTGAAACCAATCAGAAAATATGTGCATGTTATTTGAACAATACAAAACAATCAAATGAATAACTTCAGATCATATTATCAGCTAAAAAAATCATTTTCTTGGAAGCAAAACAAGGGGTGGTACCACCTTTTTAAACAGCTAAGGCTGCTAAAAGATGATAGATTTGCTTATTGCAAATAATTCAGCTTATAAAAGCTTCAGTATTTCAAACTAAATTAACAATGAAGAATCATGTCCAGATCCCACAACAGAGAAACAGTTATGAAGGTTTTAATCTTGCACCTAGGTGATAAACAATTATCAGTTACAAAGATAGTATACGATACTCTGTTCAGAAGTACTTAACAACAGATGGATAACAATAGTATATATCATGTGAACAAAATATAATGCATAATGACTGAGTTACAGAACCTGCAAACCAACAATATCTTTCACATAATAAGCACCTTATTACTACAAAATTTGTACTCTTATCAATATGACCTGATCAAGATTTAGCTTCATATTGGGTTTAATTAGATTAAGGTTCAATAAAAATCATGGCATGAAAATTAATCAACGAAGCAAAAAAAACTAAAGTTCTCAGCTGATTGTTCCCTTCTCATCTTATCTTTTTCCTATTTGTAACCTTCTATCTCCTCAATACCATAATCTTAGTCACCCTTGCTCCACTTCCAAACAATTTGACAACTTTATTAAAATCAGTCTATGATATTTGCAATCATAAGACTGTTGCCCTGCACAAATTTGCAAATGGCTTCTCCTCTCTGTACTAGTGACAGGCAGTGAAGGAGTACAATAAATTGCCTTCCTCGATCCTTCTCAAAGCAACTCACATGTCCTCTTGATCATAACAAGGAGTATGCAGCCACTTCTAGTTTTTGTTGGGGAAACACAAATGGGCACAACTCCTGGGCACAAATGATATCTGGTAATTGGTTCTCTCCACAGATGGGTATGACTTCCTTCTGTCTATAAAGAGACTCATAATACCTCCAAGGGTTTTGTAGTTTTTGAAGATGAGAAACATAAGAAATGGAGAAAACCATGGGCCTTCTCCCTTGTTGGTAGATTCCTGTAGAAACCCCCACCTTTGGAGGTGATTCAAGCTATGATGTCTTGTTTCTCTTTGGTCATCCCCTCCTTTGGTCTTGGATATGGCCAAAAACATGTTTCTCTTTCGGTTTAACACTAAGGATGATGCTATGAGAGTGCAGTGATAAGGGGAAATACTCTTTATTTGATTCTTTGGGAATCAGATTTCCAACTGTTGCTTAAAAACCTTAGCTCTGCCCAGTTTGGACCATCTTCCAGGTTTACTTTTCAAACACTAGAACAGTGAGTCTATTTTCGGTATTGCTTCCATATTAGGACATCCCTTAAGGCTGGATAATTGGTCTTTTTTTTCCATGAAAGAGGCAGGTTTGTGAGAATCTGCACTGAGATGGACCTAACAAAGTGTTTTAGCAGGGGATATGGATTGGTAGACCTCAATAAGGTATTATTTAGATGGTTTATATGGAAAGTCACCCTCTGTTTGCTTCAATTGTGGTCGCATAGGTCACAGGATTAGTGAGTGTGTCCTAAAAGCAATATGATGATGAGCTCACCACTGGAGAAAATAAGGATTTCTAACCTTCCTGAGTAACCTATTCCTGAGAAAGAAGGCTTCAATAAGGTTCAGGGGCATTGTAGGTTGGAGTTTAGTGGAAAAAAATTATAAGGAAAAAAAAAATTCACTAGGGATTTGCTTGTGCCAGTGAATAAGGCAGAGTGATTGGTTTAGGCTACCAACGTGCTAGCAAGATCACGTGATAACCATGAGGGATCTGCCTCAAGATGTCACATCGATAGTCAACCATTGCCTTCTGAATTCTCCTGTTCCTACTATGGATGCTGAGAGGGATAAATTGAATAAACAAGGAATAGAAGACAAATGTTGACTGCTGAACCTTCAGCAGGGTCAGGCTCAAGGTAAGCATGGTCTAAATGGTGGGCAACCACACTGACCAAACAAACAAGATACATATGAAAAGTAGACAATGGATACACAGTAAAATCTTGCAGATAAAGCAAGCATTAGAATGGTAAAAGATGTAGAGAATGTAAAATGAAATTAATTAACCATGTCATGAAGAAGAACAAATTTGAGATGTATGGACTCTGAAGAGAAAACATGAGGAAGCACTTAATAAAGAAAGGTGTCCCTTATGTCTAGATGATCACAAGCAAAGGCAGGCAAGAAAAAGGCCAATATAGATGGAAGTTGTGAGAAAGATTAAGAAAAACAAAGCATAAAAGAAAGTGCTTCGAGATCGGTGAATATGGTCCCAAAACTATGCTTGTGTTTGATCTTATGGTGATTAAGCCACTTATCTGCAAAACTTGGTACCATCGAAACTGGAGATCTGTATGGTCAAGACTTGAAAACAAATTAAATAAAAATGAGAACCAGGATCTATTTGACAACGTAAATTAGCCATGTTGCCAAAAGTAAGATGGGAATATGTTTTTCATTAGTGCGTCTTCACCAACATCGGAAGCTAATAAGTTGACCCAAAATAAGATTAGCAGACGCATAAATTCTACCTTCGAAGACCGAAATCCATGGCACAAAATCACAAGCTTCTTGGATCCAGCATCGTGTAGCACCCCAACAAGCTTTTCTCCGTATTTGTTCAGAATCTCTACTCTTGATTGCGATGCCTCTGCAACACGAGAGCACCTTGCGATAAGCACATGGAAGAGCAGATTCGGTGGGAAGATGCAACCAAGATGGATGATCGAAGGGATATCAAGACCACAAACCAAAGATAATCTACGTATAAACGAATGGAACACAAAAGCAACCTCGTAACGAGTGTATCCGCATATGCTAGGGTTTCCTTTAGTCAATTGGGTCTCTCCAGAAATTTTCTAGTAAAATTTATTCAAGGGAGTATTGATATGTGATCAGAATCACTAAATCACCAACATTCGTAAGGAACGGGGGAACAGCATGTTACCTTTTGCGGAAGGAAGCCGCTCTGCCATCCTCCGCGCACGAGACGACGACAGCGAGTGGGATTCTCTGCCACCGCGGTAATGGGACGAAGAATGGTTGGGGGGCAAAATTAGCTAAATATTGCCTTCTTCCACTGGGGTGAGATCCGCCGTTCATTTTCGCCATCAAACTTGTTAGGCAGATAATTGATCGAATCGGCGTCTTCGTCACCGAGTCATCACGAGAGCCACCAGCTTTTACACATCGGACACTGCTCACTGTTTTTTAATTTTTAGATTTTATCTGCTGTATATTCGGTTCTTGTAATAATAGATTATCGACATGCACATCGTGTATTGTGATTCTCGTGAATAATCTTAGTTTTTCTTATTATTTTTACCAATGTTTTTGATACATATGACGATTTCACTGAATATGATCTGCTGTTCGAGTTGAGCACTCAAACAGAAAGTTGTTCAAACCTCTTCTTTTCGACACCCAAAAGGAATCTCGGAAGTTTATACCCACAGAAGACGAATACCATAAATCCCAACGACGGATCGCAAAAATAATTTCAGAGCATCGTCAAACAAAATATAAAAAGGAAAATTGGAGAACATCAAAAAAAAAAAACACTTATACGTCCAACAGATTGAGACAGAAACGATGTTCCTCATTTAGTGTCTATTCTTCTTACGTTGCACATTTAGTGTCAATCGGCTAACTACTAAACTACCACCATTCCATGCACATAGAGAAAATACAAGATACAGTTATTATTTCTGCAGGCCTTTACACCTTTCTAGAAGTCAAGTAATCCACACTGCATATCATCCTAACCCCCGCCAATCTTGATAACAGCTACTACGGTAGATCAACAACAATAGGCTCCATTGAACAGGTCTGGCGTGCACGTTTCTATTGGTTGATGATAGACCGATCGTTTTAATACAAAGTCATCCGTGCCCCCCTTGAAGAATTAGAACCGTCATTCACGTTTCCGTAATGCCCATTTCCATTTATCTGCAGTAGAAGATAAATGAGCATCGGATTGTCATATGCAGATTACGCAATGCAGATTGTGCTTCAGAGAACACCCAGACTACAAACATAATAACGAGTCGGGATATACCTCCATATATTGTGCGCTTGGCAGAGGATGATACATTTTGTGAAGAGGATAAAGGAATTGAGAAAAAAATGAAGTATTGCTTGTTTGCACAGGCTGAGAAAGCTTGTTCACAGAGCTAGAACTTCTATGATCCAGCTGCCTCCATTGATGAGGGATCTGAAATAACACTTTTTTGTTGCGTTGCAATGTTTTAAGAGGATTGATAACAAAAAAAAAAACAGAACAAGAAATATTTTGCTTACTGTAGGTACATTGGAGGAGCAAGCTTGGGTCCCAAGGAAATGAACCATCCCATTCTGCTGACAAAGATAGACTGGATTTACGTGCATCTGATTTTGAAACCAGTCATAATTTGGCACATGGTATGCTGCTGGAATACTGTCATGAGATACTGCATGCTGCACTGGGACTATCTTGAAATTAGCAAACTGAAGTTGCAAATTTTTCTGACGATCCTCCTTGTTCTGAGCAATTGTCACATAAAGGCGTCTGCTATAGAACATATTCCCTAGAAAAAAGACAACTACCGGCTCAGACTAACAGTGAAAAGAAACATAATTTAGATTTAACCTAAAGTTAAATACCATTGAATCTCTGAACAGCCTCATTTGCTTCTTCAGCCGAGGAGAAGCATACAAATCCAAATCCCCTGCTCAGTCCATTTTTATCATATATCACTTTTGTCCGCAATACCATGCCAGATTCAGAAAATAATCTTCTCAAGGCAGCATTATCAATTGATCTTTCAAGGTTCTTCACGAAGACAGTTGAACCCTGATTTAAAGAAAGAAATATCCTAAGCAATCTGTCCCTTTACATACAACAAAGTAGAATGTACTTTTTAATGCAGTTGTGGTTGATTACCTGAATCTTTGTAAATTTGTGCTCAGGTCTACCAGCGAAACGAAGTCTTAGCAATTTATCACGCTCACTTCTTTTCTGAGCATATCTAACGTATAAAGATTTTGATCCTGACACATAATATCGTGCAATAAGAACAATGTGCAAGGAAACAAACGAAGAATAATATGAAAAGAAGAAATATTACCTAGATCTGAGCCATTCAGATTTTCCAAAGCGTTCTTAGCAGCCTCCGGTGACTCGAAGTCGACGAATCCAAATCCTCTGGATTTTCCACCTCTATCTTTCATTACAACAGCACTACTGATGTTGCCATATGCAGAAAACCTTTGCCGTAAAACATCATCTGTGATGTCCCAGTCCAGATTCTTGATGTACAGGTTAGTGCCACTTGGTCCTTCAGGCAGTGCTTGCCTCTCGCTCTTCTTAACAAACTTTGTTACACACCTTATTCCACAAATTAGAATAAAAATTCCATGAACGACACTTTAAACATTTATAAAAGGAAAAAACAAGTATAGAAAAGAACAGGGAAGCTAAGAAATCACTGTAATTGAACGCCACTAAATCCTAAAACAACTCATAAAATCGCCCAGTAGTTCCTAAACAAACTAAAGAATCCAAGCAGAGACTATCGTATACATACAACAAAGATAAACCGTCATTTTGGGAAACAATGTTATCAAAACACAAAAAGAACAAGCAGAAAAAGCACATCTTATGGGGGAATAGGACAAAAAGCGATGAGTAGAGGAAAGAGGAATCCACAAACGGTAAACAGAGCATTCGATACTAAAAAAAAAATCGGTGACAGGGAATGAATGAGCCGACGGTCAAAGAAACAAGAAAACAAGACTAAGATCATTCCACAAAAAGAATGACGTCACATTGCAAGGAGGAACAATCGAGACTAAAGAAAACATAAAGAACAGGAATGCTAACAGCTTCTTGCTTGAACCAGGGAGGATGACGCCATTGAGAGCTTTAATGGCCAACTGAGCCGCTTCCTCTGAGTCCATCTGAACGAAACCGAATCCCCTACTCCTCCCAGACCCATCTATTGCCACCTTGCACGACTCCACTGTTCCATAAACCGCGAACAGATCCTCAAGCACCGTCCCGCTCACCGATATCTCCAAATTCTTTAGAGTCGCAAATGATCCGTCCCCGGAGAAGAACAGAACCCACGTCAGGAACAAAACTTAGATGACGCTTACGAATTGAAGGGCAAGAAGGATCAGGGTTTCACCTTCACGAAGAGATTGCCAATGCCATTCTTCCGAGACATTGGGTTCCGTTGTGACCACATGATCCGCATAGGTCTACCGTGTAGAAGGGAGTGATTCATCGCCTTGAGGGCTTTCTCGGCTTCAAGAAAACATCCAAATCAAAGGTTCAAAGAAATGCACACGAAACCAATGGATCAAGAGAACCAAATCACCAGAACTGAGAGAAATGTAGAGAGAGAGAGAGGAATAGGGTTTAAACCATCAGAGAAAGAGAGGTAGTTGAGGTAGGCATATCCGAGGGAAGTGCCAGAGGCGCGATCGCGGCATACGCGGGCGGAGGCGACGGTGCCGAAGCGAGTGAAAGCGTAGATGAGTTCCGCGTCAGTGACGGCCGGGTGAAGGTCGCCGATGTACAGAGTCGGGAATGGCGGAAGATGGAGGGACGTGGGAGCCGCTGCCGCATTCATTTCATCCGGATGCAAGGTCGCGGCCGCAGCTGCCATATCTCCCATTGCGCTTGGAGAGCGTCGCGTCTCTTTCTCGCCGGAGAAGAAGAAAGGAAGACGGGAAAGACTTGAGCGGGAAGGAGCAGTGTGGTGGACGCTATTTTTATATAGGCAATAACCGCCTCATAGAGCGCTTACGAACCATTGCATGTAAAAATATATGCGGTATAAATCTACACCGTTCACTTTGAAAACGTTGAACGGACGAGATGAGTTTCACGGCAAGAGTAGGAGATTGTACGGGTGACTCTACGGGCTCCCGTGAACGCTTACTCATCGCCGTTCATTTTGAGTTCGAAATAGGTAATGAACGGTGAGGATCCGACATCCACTTGGTATCGAACCGACGCATCTTATCCACCACAAGCTGCCCCAGGAACCTCCAAAGCCGTTCGTTCCCATAAGCGCAAATAAGGCATTTCACTGATAGGGACAAAAAAAAGAAGAAAAGAGAAATGTATTGACCTAATATCCAATCATGTACTGCCACGTAGGCCTAATCTGTAAGTGACGAAACCGACCTCCTTCTCCCTTCTCTTTCACCGCCTTCCCGATCCTCTTCGTGCTTCTCACTATCCAAATCCTAATCTCCTAACATTCTGGGCAATGCCCACCAAAAACCATATAAGAGGTGTTTGGTGAATTGATGCGTCATGGTTGGTGAGTCAGCATGGGATGTTTTGGTTGGCTGAATAGGTTACCAAGGTTGATCGACCACGGGACGGGATGCTGGCGTCTGGACAGAAGGCCCTGGGCGCCGACTAGGATGTCGGATCCGCCTGGAGGAAGACGCCTCTCAATTGGGATGATCGTGCCTCGGTGGGTGGTTACTCCCTTGCACAGAAGGCCCTTGTCGGGTGGTGATCGACTTTGGCCCTTCAATGAGTAAGTTAGTGCTTGGTTCTCTATTTTTGCCTCCCTCTGGCCATATGTCGGCTAGGGGATTTTATACTATCGTACGAGGGTCGGCCATACGCGGGTTCGACGTGGTGGCCAATCCTCGCGGGGCCAAGAGGTACCTTTATACAGCCATCATCTTAGAACGCATGGAACGATGTCATATGGCACCGTCCCGAGCTTTCTGGGACGGGATGTACCGAGGAGTGCCTTGGTACGGATTCCGGCTCGGTGCGTTGGAGTACTCCTGCTGACCTGGCAGTGGCGTGGTGCGACATTGGTTGTGATACGATCAGGGCCCAAAATATACCTTATCAAGAGGAACCTTGTTCTACTACGAGGTTCCTTTACCGCGAAGGAGGGGCAGTAGAGTCGACGGGAGCGAAGTGCTTCGGAACTCTGAAGCGATCTAGTAATTTTTCTGCCTGAACTCTGGTTCGACATAGAGTTATATTGCCATTTCTGATTAACATTATCTCACCTCTTTAATATTTTATCGT